GGGGTGGGGAGCACCTTTTTTTAAAGTTTCATTGATGTAAGCAAGCTCCACACCCGGAGAGGGGCTCGAACTCAGCACCCTGAGATCAAGAGTCCCATGCTCTTCAGACCGAGCCAGCCGGGCACCCCAAGGTGGGGGTACTTCTTAAACACGGAGATTTACTTAGGAATTTGGAGAGGGACTGGGTCGCCTTTGAGGCCCTCGGCTCCCCTGCTGCCGTCGCCTCCACCAGCCTTGGTTCTGCCCTGGCTCCCCAGTGCCAGCCCCCAGGTGGCTGGGATTGAGGCAACCGCTGGTGATCTTTTGTGGGGGCAGAGGGCTGCCCTCGCTGGGGAAAAGCCTGCGTTCTCTGGCTTTACCCTGCCCAGCTCAGAAGGCTGGGCGCATAGGAGCTCCGAGGATCTCAGCACATCACACACAAAATGTGGTTCCAAAGCGTGAACGCACAGCCCACGTGTGACCGGCTGGGTGCACCGAGTGTGCGCAGCCAGACCGCAGCCACTGCACTGTGACGGGGCGCCTGCCGCCACCGGCCTGGTCCTGGTGGCCGCCTGGCGTGCTCTCTGGGGTTTCATGCCAATGGAACCATGCCAGCTCATTAATTTTCAGGTTTTCTACCGAAACCTAAAAACGTGAACATTTGGGCTACAAATATCCCTTTAAGTATTGCGTTAGCTGATTTCACAAGCTTTTTTTTTTTTTTTTTTTTTTTTTTTTTTTTAATATTTATTTTTGAGACCGCGTGAGAGAGAGAGAGGGAGACAGAGGATCTTAGAAACAGGCTCCAGGCTCCATGCTGACAGCAGGGAGCCCGATGTGGCGCTGGAGCTCACGAACCTCAAGATCATGACCTGAGCCCAAGTCAGACGCTCAGTCAATCAGGCGCCCCTGATTTCTCAAGTTTTCATAGTACTCTTGTTGAGATGTAGTTCAAAGTATTCTATAATTCATAGATTCCTTTCCCTTGATTGTGGGTTACTTAAAAGCATAGTTAATGTCCATCCTTGTGAGGTTTTTCTATGTATTTTGTTGCTGATTTCTAGCACGGGTGCACTGTGGGTGAGAATGTCATCTGCGTAGTGCTATTCCGTTGACGTGGGTTCCGACTCGCTGTATGCCCGGCATCGTGTGCGTTCACGTGAAGGCCGGTGCGGGTTCTCCATTCAGAGTCGTCAGGGCTGAGATGGTTATGTGCTCAGGCATCTGCGTTCATTCCCACAGTGACTGGAGGAGTCCCCAGCCTTCCTGGTGCTGGCACTCCTGTCCCTCAGGCCCTTCCTGGGTGGATGAACGACTCCTCCCCCTCATCCCTCCTTAAACCTCGGGCACCCATCCTCTCACCCCCAAGCATGAGGGACTGTTGCCTTCGTCAAGAAGAGAGAGTGTAGGTCGCACCCCCTCCAGGTTCTGCCGCCCCAGGCCCACCTTCCAGACCCAGACCTGCCCTGAGCTGAGGCTACACCCCTGGTCCTGCTTGTGCTGGACCTCTGAGCCTTTGTGCGTGTGAGGCCCATGTGTGCAAGGCCCACGAAGTGGACACACACCACAGAGGAGGACCCAGCCCCATGCCCGTGTGAGTGCGTTCTGGGTGTTTCTGGGTGTTTCCTTGGAGCAGGACGTGAGTGTCATCCCACCTGCTGATGCAGTCTGTCTGTCCCTCCTGCTCTGAAGGCTCCCCTCAGAGAATTAGCTGCCTTGTCTTTCAATTCTTTCATTTAAAACATGCTCTTGCAATTTGAGGAAAAGAAGATTTTCTCCATCTACGGGCACTACCCAGTGATACGGGCCGCCCTCCGAAGAAAGGGCTGGGTGGAGAAGAAGTTCCACTTTCTGCCCAAGGTCCTCCTGAATGTGGACGATGACAATGTGGGGGTGACAGGTAGAGTATGGAAGGCGTCATGTTTCTCGGAGTAAGGCACGCGTGTGTCTGTCAGAGGACCAGATGAGTCACACTGCCCCGGAGATGCTGTTCTGGCCGCAGGGCCTGTGACCTGGGCCTCCACCCCAAGTGTCCCGGTCACCCTCCTGGCCTGCCTGACCACGCACTGTGCGTGTGCTCTCACGCCCTGGTCTGCTTGCTTCTCAGTGTCCCACTGCCCATGCCAGGCGTCGTCCTCCCGGGTCTGCCCAGTTGCCAGGCTCCTTCAGCAGCCCCCGCCCCCCCCCCTGCCCGGCCCTCCTCTGG